CATGTTGCATGAATCCTCACCAGCTTACTATCAAAAGCTGAAACCTATGTAATCTGACATTGCACCAAAATTGAATTTTTATTTAAAGCAAGCAAATGGCATCTTCTGAGAAATTTGTTGGAAAGATATATTCACGATATTTCAGTTTTCATCTAAATGTTACTAGCTAATGAATTATATTGGAAGTTGTTCTGCCATCCTTTTAATATCAACAATGACTTGAAAAATGTTATATTTATGTGTAATCTTTTCACGGAAAAAAATTGCAAAAGACTCATTTCGATTACCCTTACTTAAGAGATTCATCTTCCAAAATCCCAAAGACCTAGTTTTTTTTTTTTCTGTAATAGACTTTCAAACTATCTTCTACAACTTATCTGCACAGTACATTTTGACTATCTGATCCTGAATTAATAGACCCATGAGGTTATATTTACCCCGAAACAATTCATTGATAAATTATTCTGTGAAACATTTTTTCACAAGCACTTTAAAAGAACACTGTTTTCTGGGAACTATAAAATAAGAAACAATATTAAGGTGAGGAAGAAATTAGATGCATACATGTTTAAACTTAAAGAATTCATAAAAGAATGAATAGCTCAAGGCTCTCAGAAATGGAATTTTTATTAAATTCATTTAACAAATGTTGCTTGATTATCTGCCATGTATAAGGCATTGTACTAAACATATTGGGTATACAAACATGATTTAAATAAGCCCCTTGACTAAGAGATAGTAAGATGTGATGGTTAATCTCATATGCGAAATGGGTTATGACTAGGCTATGGGACCTAGTTGTTTGGGTAACACCAGTCTATTTGTTGCTGTAAAGTTCTTTAGAGGTCATTAGCATTTATAATTGTGAAGGCCTTAACATTTAAGATTGAGTTTTCCATAGAAGAAAGGATTCTAACTCAAGACTTCCCCATTGAAATCTGCTTGAGTTTCTAGTCTGCCTATATATTTCAGACTTAAGACTTCAGTATTAGCTTGTTTCTGAGTTTCAGGTCTACTGGCTTAATCTGGGTTTCGGACTTTAGACTATAGCATCCCAGCATCCACTCTTACCTGAATTTCCTGTTGGCTGTCCTGCCCCATGGTTTTCAGACTTGCCACCCCACCCATCATCACATGAGACAATTTGTTAAAATAAAAAGATCAGAGATGAAGACAGAGACAGAGATAGGGATAGAGATAGATATAAAGATAGAGTTAGAGATAAAGAGATACAAATATTAATTCTATTGGTTCTGTTTCTCTGGGGAAAATTTTTCTTCTCACCTAATACTCAACAATTTGCTCAAGAAATTTTATAATTAGCAATGTAAATCTAGCAATGTAGCACCAAACAGCATCCACGCTCTGAAACTGGCATCTCTCTTGTGTTTAAACGCAAAACAAAATAGCTTTGCATAAGCTTTGCATAGTTTGACATTTATTCTCAAAACATAACATGAACAATTTCTTCTTACTTCTACCTCTGTATGCTTGTATATCATGAAAGTTCCTGTGTACACATACCAAGGAACTTATTTAAGTTTATCTCACACTAAGGAATAAAAAAAAATATCAGAGCAATATGAAATAAAATTTATTTACTGTACTCTATTTCATATATATGGACTACAATAATTACATGAGAAATGTGTCTTTCTTTTTTGGTATTCACTGAATGCCTTTATATTCTGCATTTAACAGTTATAAGCAGGACATAGTTTTAGCCAATTCACAATTCTCTATATTATTCTTAGTGCTTTAAAAAATATATTGGTCAGGGGCACCTGGGTGACTAGATTGGTTAGCCTCCAAATGGCTCAGGTCATGATATCTCTGTTCATAGTTTTGAGTTCCACATTGGACTCTGTACTGACAGCTGAGCCTGGAGCCTGCTTCTGATACTGTATTTCCCTCTCTCTCTTCCCCTCCCCCACTCACACTCTGTGTTTCTCTATCTCCAAAATAAATAAACATCATAAAAATTTTTAAAGTTATATTAAATTAAAAAATATATTTGTCAGCCTAAATGTACTGGTATTTTTATGTCAACATCCAAAGCAATAGAAAGGCCATAAATTTCAAAAGTATACATTTGAGGGGCACCTGGGTGGGTCAGTCGGTTAAGCATCTGACCTTTGATTTTGGCTCAGGTCATGATCTAATGGTTTGTGAGTTCAAGCCCAGTCCTGGGCTCTGTGCTGACATTGCATAGCCTGCCTGAGATTCTGTTTTTCCCTTCTCTCTCTGCCCCTTTCCTGTTTGTGTGCACAAGTGCACTCTCTGTCTCTGTCTCTGTCTCTCTCTCTCAAAATACATAAACAAACTTTCAAGTTTTTTTCTTTTAATTTGATAGTTGCTCCTTTCTTAAAAGTACAAATCTAGTATTTCTTACTTTTTGCTTACTCTTCCATTACAGTAAATAGAATATTTAATTTTTTGTAAATTTTTGTTTTTTATAATACAGGAATGCTAACTTTCCTCCTTATAGTTTTTTTTCAATTTGCATTATGCTTTTCTGGCATAAACTCTTATGTAGGATTAATATAAGATTTCCAGAGGCTCTGATGTGGAAAATCTGATGCCCTGAATTAGTTCTTAGTAACTATCCTTACTTTGATATTCACTGTTGATGGAATTTGTAGGTAATGGTTCTCAGGTTAAAGGAAATGAGTGAGGGCTGTCATCACAGGGTTTGGTTTTCACTTCTTCAAATTCTAATTTTTACAGAAAATTATATATAATTTATATCTATGTACATATTAATTTCTCACTATATATATATATATATATATATATATATATATATATATATATATCCAGACATGTCTGGAGAGATACATGATCTTATATAGTTCCTACTTATTTTTTTTTATAAGAAGGTCTATATATTCAAGGCTGTAAAAAGAGAAAAATTCAGATAAGTAAACTTACATCCCTATTGTCAAGACATGTCACAAATGTGTCATATCACATTTTTGCTTGCTTTCTCAGTTTTAGATTCCAAATAGTTAAATTAACTCATCCAGAGCCATCAAAACATGTTCTGAAAAGTACCTTTTTAAGACTTGCATTCAACCAAATTGCATTAAACCATTTACTGATACTCTGAAATAGCACACCTGTAATGCAAGAAGAAAATTCTTTGTCTCTAAATTTACAAATCAAATTCAGGAGGTGACAGTTTTGTGATAAAAAGTATGGATATCACAGATTATCTTATTAGTGTTAGTCTCTAAAGTTTCAAATTCTGTGGTATAACTAACGCATCTGTGTCAGTTAGCTACATAATCGCTGGTCCTCTAGGAATAAGAGGCATACTCTCCTGCAAACTTATTTTGCTTTGATTAAATCAATTGGATGCTACATTTCCTATATCTGTATTAGCCCAGGCTTTTCATCCATAATGCTTTTATGAAAACATGAATGTGGTATAACATTGCATGATTTGCTTTATCACAGGCAAATGGTAATATTTTCATATATGCCTTTATTTACACACACATATATGCCTTACTCAAAATGTGTTGACATTATATGATTATAAAACAAAACAAAATTGTATGTATTTTAATTGTATTTTAATTGTTGTCTTCCTTGGTAAACTATGGCTTATCAAAAATGATAATAATTCCATTTAGTAATTTAGCCTATAACTAAATTAAAAATGGTTAATTTAATTAAAAATTAAATTAAAAATGGTTTCATTTGTTTTTAACAGTCATAAACATATTGAGTTAAATTATTTTCTTTATTTAAAATAAGAGGTCTTGGAGTACCTGCATGGCTCAGTCAGTTGAATGTCAACTCTTGATTTCAGCTTAGGTCATGATCTCACAGTTCCTGGGTTTGAGCCCAGGGCTTTTTACAGCCAATCTGCACTAATAGTTTGTTTGGAATTTTCTCTCTGCTCCCTCTCTCTTACCCTCCCTGACTCTATTTCTTACAAAATAAATTTTAAATAATTAAAAAAATATTTTTTTTTCCTATAGAATAGTGGAGGTAAGCTCGATTAAATTTTCTCACTCATATATTTTTCTTCTCATTTTAGGGCATAACGTGTAAATTGTTGTCTCCATACATCAACATAAGACTACGCTGGCTACTGGCCGGCTGAAGATAGGAGTTAAAAGTGAAACCAATGGCATTATTAATATTTATTTTACTCATATTTCATGGCCATTCCAACCTTTAAAATAAGTATCAGGAGAGGTTCCATGATAAGGTCTACCAATATTTTATTTCACTTGAGGAGTCTGGTGCATGTTCAAACTTGTGTGGGAACACATAAATAACAAAGATATCTTTAATCTTACATATTTTGGTGTATACATGTTTATGTGTAGATATATATGGAACTGTGTCAATATAAACATAATTATAATTCATTATTATCTCATAAAAATATAGTCACTAATATGCATAATTAATATTTATTTTGTTAGATATTGTTTTATTTTATTTTATTTTCAGAATGCTGGACCAATATTTTATAGAAAAAATCTTTCCAGGAAGAGTAGGTACGTATAAAGAAATAAAAGAATTCCCATTTTTCCATATAAATCTAAAACATTCATTCCATTGAGACTTCATAAAAATGAGATGAAAACTAAAGGGAATCAATATTTATAAAGCAGCTGATATACCCGTTTCTCATCAAATTATTTACATGTTATTTTCTTTCATTTTGTTAAGTAACCATTGACTACCAAAATGAGAGACGTTCTAAATTAAGGAGCAGGTAAAGTTTTTATGCTGTGTTCATTCTACACATTTCACTTCTATTGCCTTTATTTTAATTACAGCAAGTAATTAGGAATGCACAACATATTATTTTTCTTTCTCAAATATAAAACCTGCATGGAATAACAGCCAGTACCACAGTTTTAATATTTTCCTCCCCAAACATTTCATATATGCACAGATTTCATTGTGTTTCTGAAATATAATTCTACTTAACAAAATTGCTGCATAAAACTGCAAAGGAAGTTTTAAATACTTGCCTGAAGTCCAAGGAGCTTTTCACTAGGCTTAATGTGCCTCTGAAATTCACATTCTATGGGTTGTATCACTTTGATTCCATCTTCATAAAAAACATAGAACATGTTGCCAATTCCCAGACCTTAGGAATAAAAACACATTCAAAAAGTTCAAAATAAAATTATTAGAAATCTTTACAACCAAAACTCAGTGCTTGTCACAGTACTGGCAGGAGATCAATTTGTAGAGTTGTGTAATGTTAATAAAGCAAACCATATGAAGCCTTTACTGTACACCAAAGCAACTTTGTGATATTCTGCAGACATTCTTTATTCTCCCTAATCTGCAATTCAGTGATTCCTTTAGTATGATTCAATAAATGTTTCACATAGAAATGGAAATTATAAACTCTTTGATACATAGATTATGTCTGATACCTTCCCCACTTAATTTAGATGTTGATTAAGGAATAAAAATACTTTTTGAAGAATTATAATTGTTGTATATTTTTATTAGAGTTCCCTAAGGAAAATAAAATTTCATTCTTTGTAGAAGTTTAGTTTACATAAAGACTTTTAGAAAGAAAAACACCAAGTCCCTCAGATTGTGGGAGGAGATATATATTGTCCTAAAGTAATTTTTGTGTATATAATCCTGCATAAGGTCTTAGATTTCAGTTTTTATACTGGCCAAGTTTGCAATCTATCTCTATACTTTAAAACTTGTATTAATTTACACTCTTAAGAAAATCTCAGTAAACGGTTGAAATCATACTTTTAATTTGTTCACACTACAGATTTGGGTATTTGACATCTCAGAAATTCATCTCACTTTATTGATCCACACTTAATGGGTGCAGGATACTGCAAATCAGAAGCAAGGCATGTGGGTAGGGTTAACTTATGCCTGCACATGGGGAACTCCACATAGTCTTGCACACCTGTTTTCTTTGCTTACTCTGCTTTTGCTTTGTTTCAACATGGCCAGACCTTAGCACATATAGTTCTTTTTCTTTTGGTCTTCACCTGAGTAGCTCCCTCTCTGGTTGTAGTCACTTGGACAATCATCTGAATTCAATCGAACTATAGCACACACAGTTCAATGATAGCAAGCACTCTTTAAAGGATAAGTAACGATATTCAAATCTTGGTAGTTTGAAAAGTCAAGCCATTATTGCTTAAAATGTTTAAATTCTAAAAATATTTATAAAAAGAACTTTATTTAAATATAAAAAATTCCCCAAGCATCATTTTATTTTGATTGATAACACCTGCAAGGTTTATTCAGTCAAGCCTGATGATCACTACAAATGTGTATTGATCCATAAAAACATTTGTTTGTTCAACTTAAGCCACATTTATTTATTTTTAATGTTTTATTTATTTCTAGGAGAGAGAGAGAGAGAGAGAGACAACGTGAGCAGGGGAGGGTCAGAGATAGAGGTAGTCACAGACTGAAACAGGCTCCAGGCTCTGAGCTGGCAGTCAGCACATAGCCCGACGTGGGGCTCAAACCCACGAACCGCGAGATCATGACCCGAGCGAAAGTCGGACGCTTAACCGACTAAGCCACCCAGGGCCCCAAGCCACATTTATTTTTATCTCATCTGTTCCTACTTAATAAAGGATCATCACCAATTTTGTCCATCAAACCATATATCCATCTTTTCTTGTGATTAGAGAAAAATATATTCAAGCATATAAATGACTGTATTGGTGTTTATACATAGTGATTATAATTTTCTTTTAGTACATGAAATTATTTCTATCTAATACACTTATGCATTTTAAGTACTTCAAATTGTTTTTGACACATCTTATTGTTTTATAAATATTTCATAGTACTCATATTTTGAAATGATGCAATCTTTATGTATTATAATTCCAGAGAGCACTACATTATGATGGAATATTCCTGAACAGTAGCAAAAGTAGCAAAAACAAAATTCAAGTCATAGTTTTCATAAAGTTTAATTCATACATTTTCATAAAATTTAATTTTTCATAACTTTTCATAATTTTAATTTAATTTAAGCTTAATAATATTTAGTAGCTGTCAGCTCTTATTTATAATTATGTTTATGCATAGATGAATATACATTCTATGCCCAAAGGATAAAACTTTTAAAAAGTATGATTCTATGTCAAAACAATTAATTCATATCAGCAAACTTCCATTTAAACATTCATAAGATTCGGGGTACCTGGGTGGCTCAGTCGGTTAAGCCACCGACTTCGGCTCAGGTCATGATCTCACGGTTTGTGGGTTCGAGCTTTGCGTCGGGCTCTGTGCTGACAGCTAGCCCAGAGCCTGGAGCCTGTTTCAGATTCTGTGTCTCCCTCTCTCTCTGACCCTCCCCTGCTCACATTGTCTGTCTGTCTGTCTGTCTCTCTCTCTCTCTCAGAAATAAATAAAACATTAAAAATATGAAATGTTCATAAGATTGACATGTACTACATGTCGGTGACTATCAATTTACCATTATTGGTTGTTGAAACGTGTAAACATGATCAAGTAGTGATATGGTGTCTAACTTTTAGTTGTGTCAGTTATGCACTATGTTTAATTATTATTATAAAGCTCTCAAAATTTTGAATGAACATGACTCCCTTCCTTCAGCTACTGCAAAATTCTGCTCCAGAATCAGGATTTTGAAGTTTGAAGATGACAAATACTCTAGGTCCAGACTGTTTGAAAAGTTTCTTGAAATATTTCTTCCTTAACTCAAATGGAATCTTTCATTATATTATTTACCATATTCTGTGTACAATGCAGTCAGGAATTTCACTGAATTGTTGCACTGATGAAATTTCCGAGCTGTATTTTCCTCTAAAACCCACTTAATCCATCCAAATCACTTGTTCAATCTCAAGTCGATTTTCTTACTTTTTAGAATATAAATTACACATTCAGTGTTTTTTCAAAAACAACTGCTTTCCAGGTTACAAGCTATTGAAGAAATACAGATTTCATTATGCAAGGTTTAGTTTCTTCTTGAATTTTATAGCTTTCAGTGGAAATATAACTTTTCAGTGTTTATGAATAGTAATGCCATCAAAATACCATATATGTTAGCTAAAATAGAAATAAAATGATTAATTTTTAATCACTCTCCTGATATCAATTAAAATTTTGTGGATACCTTTAGAGCCATCTTTGAGTTCCTCTTCTCTCCACTCACAAGAGGTATGTTTTCTCTTTTTTTTTTCTTTTTGGTTAGAGAAATATTTTAAATCAAGTTTTCTGTAGGTTTTAGCAGCAGAATTTATGATTTGAATATATGATACAGATGTGTTTCCTTTTAAATTTACTGCTATAGTATTATACATATATATTTATTATGATTATACTGGGCATGGATGAATATACATTCCCCAATAATGGAGATGTTGGTAGTTAAGGACACAGATTTTCATTTGGAGCATTCATTAGCATTATTTATAAAGAAAATAGTAATGTATTTGTATATGTTAACTATACCTATTAAGTTGTCAGGCCCAAACTTCTTTTTTGTTGTTGTTGTTTAGATAAAAAACATATATAACAAAGAAGATAGACTCCATTTCCTGGGTTCAGACTGCTCAAAGGCAAATCATGGCAACAGAACTAAGTATGTACCATGGGAAAGATACTCAGACTATGTGAGAATTTTTCTCTCTCAAGCTTGAGATAAGAATTATACTTATGTCATTCAGCTATTATAGGAATTAGATCAGATGGAGAATGTAAAGCATTTAGTAGAGTGACTGGTGCATGGTAAATTAAAAAAAAATGGTACTGTCACTATTTTTATGACTGACATTATCTCTTCTATTAAACAGTAGTAGAAAAAAATGGTGAAATGGTATATAACCAGATTTTGATTTCTGTTCTCGTGTTTTCCTCAAATCTACACTGTGAGATATACTGCTACATTTCAGTTTTCTATGTTATCAAATTCTAAGGATCCATGAGCCTGCTAAAAATCAACTGCATTTTCTAGTAGGGAATTCTTGAAGTGGATCCTTTCAGGGGGTCTACAAAATCCAAACTATTTTCATAATGATACTTAGGTGTCATTTGCATTTTTCTCTCCAATTTCCACACATAAGATTTTTCCAAATGTAGAGAGTAGTTTTCGATGGGCTACATGACATGTGGTATAATGAGTGATTTCACGACAATTCAATGCAGAAGCAGAATATAGGAATCCAGCATCTTCTACTGAGCCAGACATTAAAAGGATTTGCAAAATGTAAAACAACGTGAGTCTCTTCATTTTTTTAATGTTTTGTTTTGTTTTTCTTCTGAGAGAGAGAGACACACACACACACAGCATGAGTAGGGGAAAGTCAGAGGTAGAGAGAGATACAGAATCTGAAGCAGGCTTCAGGCTCTGAGCTAGCTGTCAACACAGAGCCCGATGTGGGGCTTGAATCCATGAACCATCAGATCATGACCTGAGCCAAATTCAGACACTTACCTGACTGAGCCACCCAGGCGCCCCTTCATTTTTTTTTAAATATAGCTTTAAAACTGTTTTATTTATGGGTACATATAATGAGTTTATTATGGCTTTTTCAATAAATTAATAAATGAACATCTTTAATTTTTCTGTTTTAATTTCTATTATGGTAAATATAAGTGGATAGGAGTAACCCACATAAACTAAAGCTTTTGAGTTCACAATAATATTGAAGAGTGCAAAGGGGTTTTGAGTCCGAAAAAAGTTTAATAACCATGTAGGTTTCAATTACAATTCTCTCTTCATGAATGCATTCTATTGCAGTATATTACAAAAGTTCCTGGCTTCAGTAAAAGCTTCACCACTTTAGTCACAGTAAAGATTTGCAATATGTGCATCCTGCTGTTTCTTTCCTCATCCCCCATGAAGACAGACACATGTACTTTGTCTTTTCCAGGTCGATTGTTAATCTAATGGTGTATAGTGGCTCTAGAAAGTGATTCATAATTTGTTTGTTTTTTTTTAAGATTTCTTTTTACTTTGTTTTTCTTTCTATACAGAGAAAGGACGTAAGCAAGAATTACTTGCAGTCTTTTAAGAGGGAAGTATTTCCTAGAGGAATTTCTAATCAATACTGCACCTTTAAAAACATGAAATAGACTGAGAAAAAAATGGATGTAATGCACATTAGTGTCTCA